TGGAGTGAAGAGATTTCCCGCACTACACTGCGAATTCTTCTGAACTTTCGATTTTACCTGGCTGTTTCTCAGAAGTTTTCTTTGAACGCGTAAGTCCAATATATCTTTGATGGCCAAATGGATAGGAGAATAAACCTTCCCGGATTGGATATGAGGAGTTGTGTCTGCGCCAAAATACGCCCTCAAAACTCTTTGCTTTGTCCACATCTGAATCAACGTAAACGACCGAGTATTTTATGCGATGCATGTCCACGTAAAAGGAAAATTCTTAGTAAAAAGAAAGTATACTTGAAGTTACGATTACGAAATGCATGTTAGTAAATGCAGTTTGAAAGGCTAATCCTTAATCTGCCTTCCATATGTGTGAAGCGTTTCTCTGGAAGAAGTTTAGTTCTTTTATTGGAAAAACAGTTTTGATAACATCTTTGCTGCTGTTTTGGGTCAAAGATAAATCCTTGAACATTTAGTATAGGTTATAAGCCATTCTTAGAGGAAGTTTGCAGAGAAGGAAGGCGGATTTGGAAGCAGCGTTCTAAGGTAAATCTAACAGTATCGACTTCATTTTACATTGCAGTTTTGGCCAGGTTACTTCCCTTGTTAAGGTAAAGGATTAAGAATAACGCACACATGCTCCATTCAAAAAATTGTGGAAGCTTGTTCTATTTCTCGTCCTCAATATTGCCCTCGTGAAAGTGATTCTGCCTACACTGTACTTTCGCAGTATAAAGCAAAATGTCTTCTAAAGCGAACCTTTACGCAGCCAGCAGTGGGTACATAGAGGGCTGCCACTGCGCGTACCCTTCCAGCCAATTACGTAGATTTAGATGCCGCCCGGATATCCTGTTTATACGTAATTTTGTTGACTCCTCTTTATGAGCAGCTGCAAAAACTTGACCCTTATGGTTTAGATCTCCATGGAAGGCGATCGTCCATCTCCGAAACCTAAAGTTTTCGGCACATCACATAGCAACGTACCTCGGCCAACACATGCGAAAGGTCTTCTTTTGATACTTCTTTCGGAAAACGTGTGTTTGCTTTTTAAGTTAGTTTTAAGGTCTATCAGTGTCCACTACTGTGCAAGCAGCTCGTAATCTCAAGCGTAGAAGTATCAACCAGCTCAACAAATGTGAACCAGCAACAAAACGGACCGCTTTTAGTGCCTCACATAACTCGCATTGTTCAGGTGCAGCCTTTTTTGTTTCTAATTAACCAATTATCTGAACCTACGAAATACATTACAGTCACCAAACCACTGCCTGATCACATGAGAACTGGCAAAACAACTCTGGCGAGCTCAAGCAGCCTTCCTCGTCTGACCGGCACGAGTTCCTGTAGCGCACCGCGGTATCTTCAAATCACGACATCGTCTGCCTCCCGAAGAAACGGCGTATCCCTGACTGGAGGTAGGCCAGAAGTCTCACGCCCAGCGCTTTCCTCTGTAGGTGAGATCATTTTGAATTCTTGTTTTTGCCTGAGACAGCTTGATACGTCCGAACAACATTCAGCACGCCGGTCGTCCTCACCCAGGGAAACAGCTGAGATGGCCGACTTGCGCATCAAGCTTGCAGCAGTTGAAGCAGAGAGAGATATGTTCAAGGTTCATATCATCTCGTTTCTCTGTTCCTTTTAGCCAAGTACTTGAGTCCAAGTTCCCTTAAAATAGTGCTGGAATGCTTTACATAGTGACGGCGCCCAATATATCGTATCTATTGTGTATACCGCTGTGAGGTAGGTTTCAGGTGCTCTGCAGATAAGTTTTCACTGCTATGTGTATATGACATAATAAATATTTGCTGAGGAGCTAAAGTTGTACGTTCACTCAGGTGTACAATATATCTGCGCAGTTGCTATCTGCATTTGAAATTCATCTTGAGTGTTAAGTTTTGCTTGCTCTGCTCTAGCGTAAGTTTGTGTCTTTGTCCGTGATTACACATCGGCGCTTTGGACGCTGCTTGCTTTATATGCATTGCTATTTAGTCAAATAACCTTGTTATATAGTGCACCAGCTGTCTCCTGAATGCATAATGATTTTTCATTTAACTTAAGATTTTCTTTGGAATCGATGCTAATAATTTCTTTTACAGAGCCAACTCTCTTTAAAAGATCAGATCTTGGCAAGACTGCAGGTATAGGGACTTTGTGTCAAGATTGGTCCAGAA